GGGTTTAGGGTTTAGGAGGGTCTTGGGGTCATCTATTCCCAAACCCCAAAGAGGCTCGAGGGCTGCAGCGGGCTCGGGGGCCTTTGGGCGCTGAACCGCTAATGCAGGGGCCTGAATAATTAGAATAGGATTTTTTTTGGGCTCGTTATTATACTTATAGTCTTATACTATAATAGACCCCGAACCCTATTCTAATTATTAAGGCACCGATATTAAGCCCGAAAGCTGAGCTTTGTCCTTCTGATGCTGATCTGAGGAAGTGCTCCGTCTTACGATGGCTGGCCTCCTTGGGCCACTGGGCTGCTCAAGAATTTAAACTCAACCCCTGAACTATCATCGCTGTTGCGGCTTGAGGGGCCCCGAAATAGAAAACAGGATCATGTATATTCCACGTTCTACAAGGGCTCGGAAATGGCTCCTAGATGGAATACTAGGATAATGTACAGTCAGTACTCTTGAAGACATATTCAATACCATGTTCCATGATCATGGCACCTTTCTTGGGTGCAGGGGCTCACGACCGTCTTATTGTTGTTTCATCTGTGCGTTTAGGGCTTGTGGCTTTAGGGTTTTAGGGTTTGGGGTTTAAGGTTTTGGGTTTAGGGGTTAGGGTCTTACCGTTGAGGGTTGGGTGTTTCAGGTTGTCAAAGTTGCGTGATTGTTGGACAGGGTTCATGGTGGACGGTGGACGCTTGCACGGTCTTATATGGCTTGGCTTTTTACGTGTTCGTTCGGTTTCCAGCTTTCACATTCAGCTTCACAATGGATTTTGTCCTGTGGGTAGTTTTCTAAATTACGATCCCTTTTAGGGTCCTTCTGATAAGGGTGCCGTACTATATTGGGGACCTAAAAGGGGACCCTAGTTTAGAGAACTACCACTATAGAGCCCTTCATGAGCTCTTGGGGTAGACTTTGCAGCAACCGATGTCATGGTGCCGAGGTTTCAACCCCAAAACCCTAAGCCCGAACTCCTCCACCCTAAGACCCTGAAGCCTGAGACCCTAAACCCTAAACCCTAAACCCATTACTCCTAAACCCTAAACCCTAAACCCAATACTCCTAAACCCTGAACCTTAAACCCTAAACCCTATACTCCTAAAGCCCTGAACCCTGAGACCCTGAACCCCAAGACCCTAAGCCCTATACTTGGAGGTTCATGGGTAGTTAGAACTGGAGTTATAAGTCCCCTAACATAATTATAACTATGGTTACCCTACTTATAACCCTACTTATAACTACCCATGAACCTCCAAGTATACTCCTAAACCCTGACCCCTAAGTCTCAAGCCGTAAAAGGAGCAGATCCGCCAGCTTCGTTGGTCTACCTGCCCTCCTTGGTGGCTTCTGCTGGGTCCTCGAGGAAGTTGTCGGAATACTTATGGTTTCTACTAGGGCTCCTTGGAAGGATTTTTGAGAAGGGCTTTCGTCTTGAGGGTTTAGGGTTTAGGGGTAAGTATAGTGTAATATCCGCCAGAACCCTTTTCCAATTAGTAAGGCACCCCTGTTTTTGAGGGTTTGGAACCGTCTTTGTGGAGCTGTTTGGGTTCGGGGTTGATGTCCTGTATTTAGTTTTTAGGGTTTTAGGATTATAGCTTCGCCTGAGGGTTTGTGGCTTTAGATTTGAGGGTAACCCTAAAGCCTAAAACCTAAACCCTAAACCCCAAAACCCTAAACCCTAAGGGTTGCACGATATTGCTGAGAGATGGAGCTTGTTCGGAGATGCTTGCGAATGATGTAGGGGCCTTCGGGTTTAGGCTTTAGGGTGTAGGGGCTTTACTCATGTAGACAAGGGGTTTAGTGTAGATTTTACCATACTGAAAATAAGTCGAAGGCTCCTATGTTAAATTTGGGGTCAGAAGTTACGTTTCAGGGCTCGTGCTGTTTGTTTCTTTTTGGCCGACCGGAGGCGTGCCCAGATTTCCGAGGGCCCTAAACCAAGGCACTGCAAGCCTCAAACCCTGTAATACAGGGGCCTCAATAATTACCTAGACTATTATTATGGAGGTTCCTATAGTATAGTATACCCCAAAACCCTCTTCTAGTTTTTTAAGGCCCTACATGACACCCCTAAGCCCCACAAGCAATCTGCGGAAACCTCCTGCTTCTGGAGTCGGGTTTGGTCCATCTGCAGATTCTTCGCGCATGGTTTAGGGTTTAGGGTTCTGGCATGTACCGGTCTGTATCAAACTGCTTGCCTTGTGTCGCAAATCCTATTCCTAAACCCTAAACCCTGAACCCTAAACCCTTAAACCCTAAACCCTTAAACCCTAAACCCCAAGCCCTTCTAGGAGGAGATGAGGAAGTTTGGGGGCAAGGGGTCGGATCTCTAGTCTTCGTCGCTTCAGCCGTTCGGGCTTCGCAAGTTGAAGGGCTGTTGACGGTTCAGGGGTTTAGGGTTCAGATTTTAAAGAGCGTTTTAAGGTTTAGGGTATAGGGTTTAGGGCTTTCGGGCTTTAAGGTTTAGGGTTTAGGGTTTAGGGTTTAAGGCTTTAGGGCTTTAAGGTTTCGGGCTTTCGGGCTTTAGGGCTTTAAGGTTTGGTTCGGAAGGCTGGGGTTCGGGTTCAGGGCTTCAGCACTTACTGTCACGGAGCTGATGCGTTGCAGAAACTTTGTGGTGCTTGATGATGCCTCGTTTTAGGCTTTAGGGTTTTAGGGTCTAAGGGTTTCGAGTTTTAGGGTTTAGGGTTTAGGGTTTAGGGTCTAGGGTTTAGGGTCCAGGTTTAGGGTTTAGGGTTTAGGGTCCAGGTTTAGGGTTTAGGGTCCAGGTTTAGGGTTTAGGGTGATTCGGTAATGAGGAGAGTTAGAGGAACCTACAGGTGGGGAGTTTAGGGTTTCTAGGGCTTCTGTACGGCTTCTATAAGGTATATAGACCTTCTGTAAGGCTCCTAGAACGCTAGAACCCTAGCTACCCACCTGAAAATGTCCTAGAGAGAGTGTGTGATTCACAATGCGTCCCGTTTATGGTAACTTCGGCTATGCTCCTCAAAAGTCCAGTTGAGATCTGGGATTCAGAGTCCCCCCTGCACAGCTGCTCAGTCGTGGGCTTGCCCTAGATTCCCTGCTTTTTCCTTCTGAGTCCTAGGAACACATTTAGGGTTTAGGGTTTAGGGCAGTAGAAGCCCAAAAGTTGGAAACCCAATAGCCTCAATCCTTAAGAGTAATGTATAGGGAATTCCAGCACTATTTGTCCTTAATCCGGTTTCCAAGTTTTTGGGGTTTACTATATGCCTCTTAAGATATCCGAGATGACGTAAGCCTATCAAGCCCCATGAGAATCGTGATCTCATCTGCTGCTGTTGTGAACCGATGCCCTGAAGCCCTAAACCCCCTAAACCCTAACCCTAAACTCCCTGAAGCCTTGCAAGCCCATGTAGGACTATTGTTACAGCCTAAAGTCCCTTTTGCAAATGCTAGCGGCCAGCATCGTGGCGAGCGTGCTGGCATGTTTTTTTTTGCTACCGGGCGTGGTTTGTCAAGCCAGCGAAGAGGAGATTGCTGCTGCCACCGATGTTATCTTTCTGCCATGGTCAGTGCCTCTCCGTCGAGGGGCAAGCCCGAACTCCGCGAAGCTTTGCTGGTGGCATGAGTATCCGGATGATTTCTTGAAACACTCCTATCGTCAGTGCTGTTGTGCAAGTCCTGCTCAAGCACTGCAATGCTGGGATGGTGACAGCAGCGCGGGACCTCCCCAGTCTTGCTGCCATTACAGGTACCTGGGCTCTGCCATACTTTTATACTTTTTGTTGGGACCTGTTCCTTAAAGGAACCATTGTGAAATGAAAGTCTATACTTTTTTCTCCCTGGTTACTTCAAAGCCCAGGTATGGGCCAGGTACCACCTGCTTCCCTTCTCACGGCCGCGTTCGCCTGGAATTCCCTGGCCTCCCGGTGTTGTCTGCACATCTGAAGCCCTCAGACTACGAGTACGAACCTCACTTCGCTGCATTGCTTACGCAAGGGCACTTGCTAGAGCCCTTCCTCCAGGCCCCAAAAAAGCCCTAAACCTCTAAATCCTAAACCTTAAACCCGTAAACCCCTCGACGTCTCAACCCCAAAACCCGAAACCCCTGAAAATCCGAAACCATCAAAACCCTAGATCCCTAAACCCGAAACCCACAAAACCCCCAAAACCCCCAAAACCCCTGAACCCCCTAGAGGCTCCAGTGGGCCGCCAAAAGCTGCGGGCCGTAGATCTCGGTGCGGGTAAAGGCCTGGACTCCGTGGTCCTTTCCAAACTGGGCCACCTCGTGGTCGCCATGGAGCAAGATCCCCAGGAGCTAGAGGTGACCCTAAACCCTCAGCCCTAAGCCCTAAACCCTCAACCCTAAACCCTGAACCTAAACCCTGAACCCTAAACTCTGAACCCTGAACCCCAAACCCTCAACCCTAAGCCCTAAGCCTTAAACCCTACGCCCTAAGCCTTCCACCCTGAAATCTGCGGCGGAAGTTTCCAGGAGCTGCAGCTGATTGATACCAACAAAAAGCTGAACAACGTCTCCTTCGAAGTGGTCCCCGCTGACCCTGGGTTGCTACTAAGGAACTTAGTTTAAGCCACCAGAATGGGGATATGTAAGGGTGCCTTTAAGGGTTTAGGGCTTAAGGTTTATTAAGTTACCCATCATGGGAATATTCTGTAAAAGATAGGGTTTCCTTATGTTAGTAATTGACTTTAAAGTTAGGGTTTAGGATTTAGGCTTTAGGGTTTAGGGTTTAGGGTTTTCTTAACAATGATCCAGGACTTGACGGAGACAGAGACTGCCGCAGCAAGGCTTCTTGCGGCGAGCGGCGGCGCGGCTTTCGACCTGATCGTCGCCAACTTCATGGCCTACCTGCCTCCAGCGGTGTTTCTGAAAGTGCTAGACTTGGTGGAAAGGATTGGTACCCGAGACTTTGTATGGCTTTGGCCGTGCGGTAAAGAGGAATTTGACGCAGATGCCGGGTTCTGGAGCAACCACTTTTCTAAATTCCTTTTTCCCTAAACCCTAAGCCCTAAACCGCAAACCCTAAACTCTAAATTCCTTTGTCCTCGGACGGGAATGGTCTCATTGAGGAAACCCTAAGGGTCCAAAGGACCCAACAATTAGGTACTCGGTTTAGGGATAGTAGTTTCGTAGGTTAGTAATTTGGGAGAGTATATGATTATTAGGTACTTGGACCCCTACGGAGATCGAGTAAGAAATTAGAATTCATTTCAAGTTATCCAGAGCCCCTAAGCCCTAAAGCCTACATCCTAAGTGGAGAAGGAATCTAGATGTCGTTTTGGGTAATCTAGGGGCCGAAAGTCTGACCAATACTTTTTTGGGGGCTCCTTGTTACAATTCTAGCATAATGGGTCCCAAAACCCTATTCTAACTATTAAGGCCCCTAAACCCTAAACCCCAAACCTTTTTGGGTAATCCAGAGTTCAGGATGACGAGCAGCGGCCCAATCGCGACCAAGCGACGGGGCGCTTTGAGGTCGTGGATGTTTTGACCTTCGGAAACGCCGGCAACTTGGGTTTCCAAAGGCTGGGGTCGTTGTTACGGCTGATGATCCAAATCCTGCATTACCCATAATCAGAAGTATACCAAAATTCCCATAGTTTAGGGTCCTCAAGGTAATGTACGGTTTACATCATCAACAGTAGGGTCACTGTAAGCCCTAAAACCTAAACCCTCCGCTCTCTGACTTCTTTCAGAAGTGGAAGACAGGTGGAGTGCACAACCTCACCCTAACCCTAAACCGGAAACCCAAACTCCGTCCCGAAACCCCAAACCCTACTTTGCAGGTTCATGGGTAGTTATAAGTGGGGTGTTAAGTTCCCTGATATAAGTTATAACTATAGCTACCCTAATTATCACCCTACTTATAACTCCAAGTACCCTTCGTGGTGGTGGTTCAGAGAACCCGAAGACTCCCATATCCTTTAATTAAGGAATACATCTTAAATTATATTACGGACCCTACTATGATTTAGGGTACATTCCTTATTTAAGGGATATTGGAGTCTCTGGGAACCTTGAGCTCAGCCTAAACCCCCAAAAATCCTAAACCCTAAACCCGAAACCCTAAACCCGAACTTAAACCCTAAACCCTAAACC